ACACACACACACACACACACACACACAGAGGCACACTGTTAATTCAGCAAGGATGTTCTTCCCTGTGGAGGCGGTGGAAGAGGGAGGGCCCAGGGCTGACCTTTAGTGTGCGTCTTTAATCTAAAACCGGTGCATTGATCAATAAGCCATTTGCTCTGTATGATACAATTTACGAACTTTTGTAGCCCCTGTTATAACGTTGGAGTCTTGGCTTTGGAAAAAACAAATCATTGCGGGTATGTGTTCTAGACAGAATCTGGACCGTTTATGAGCATTTGACCTCTGCTGGATGGTTGAGAGAACACGCCTCCGTTATCCGTAGCCCAGTGGTATTAGCCAGCAAAGCATACCGTGCTGCACACTTGGCAGATGTGGTAGTTTGTCTGCTTCAATTCTTTTTTTCTTTCCAGTTTCAGTCATTTTTCTTTTTTCTTTGAAATGTGAGTTTGCTTTTTATTTAATTTGTTCTGCGAATGGTTTCATGGGTGCCGCTCCACACACAAAACTAATTTTAGAAATACACAAACATATTGTCCACTAGAGTCAGTTTTTGTCACTGTGACAAAATCATTCGCAGTAACACTTTCTATTAAATTTGTTAAAAAAATAGCCACTTTACAATATCATTTGACCTTCTAACTGATTGTGATCACAATCCTTTGATTTGTTATTAGTTTAATAATTCAAGTAAGATCATGAAAGTTGCTTACGCTACTGCCCAGACAAAGGAATCTGAAGAAGGACAACAAAAAGTTAAATGCCATGTTTTGTGGCATGAAGGCTTAAGCTAAAGTAAATTATGCTTTTGCTACACAGATAGTATATTTTTAGTATAATAAACTGCTATCAAAGTGTATTGCTCCAGAGCTTCTGAATTTTGGGCTCGTAATTTGCAGTGTTGTTACAAGACCTCTTCCATATTTTTAATGAATATATCCATTTGTGGTGCAATGATCGTTGTAGTCTAGAGTCTAGGGAAAAATCAACTGTCACACTTTTACATAAAGCTTTAGGGTGAGCATTACTTATTTGTATGTTACAGTATGTGCATGTGCGTACATAACATTTCCTCTTCTCCCTGCCTGTCCAGTTTGGAGCTGTACCCGCAAGTCTCTCCTCTCCCCATGCTCGACAGTCGTCATCTTCCTCAGCGCTCCCGTCTGGGACCCCACCCCAAGCTCCAGGACCTGGGTTGCCGGCACCCCCTCCTCCACCTCCTCCGCCCCCCTTACCTGGCTGTCCTGCCCCACCTCCTCCACCTGGAGTGCCTCCGCCGTTTGGTGCCCCTCCACCACCCCCTCTAGGGTTTGGTGGAGGTCTTGGCTCCCCCACCCACAATGCACTGCCTTATGGCCTCAGGGCTAAGAAGGAATTCAAGCCTGAGACTTCCATGAAGCGCCTCAACTGGTCCAAGGTAAGACACTGAAAGGTGTTTCTAATATTTAACCCCCTTCATTTTCATTCTTGAGGGTGACATAATAACAAATCAGATCAGTGCAGTTTAATATATCACTGATGAACGCATCTAGAATGACTATGGTCATGCTAAAGGTTTGCTGACAGGTAATTTGGCATATTTGCACAACTTAGATGTGTATTTTCTAATTGACATCTTCTAGAGGAACAGACAATATATGGAGAAATGTTTCTCACTGTAGTTTCTTTAATGAAAAGTTTTGGCCAATTAACTGAAAAATATGCCAGGTATTTAAAGTGGCCTTGTTCTCTGCTCTTAACTTTGTTCCTGATGTTCATTGGCAGCACCTGAACATTGCAGATGTTATTCTAAGAAGTACAAACAACAACTTCCTATCTCTGTGCCAAACGAGGAATAATTAAAAATAACAGATGATGAGAAGCCATTGTCAGAGCAGGTGGTACCCCTACAGATGTTGTTCCCTGCAGAGCAATATTAGTTCACAACACGAGTAATCAGTTTGTGGTTTGATTAATAATTTAATGTCAGATGTGCATTGGTACAGATGTTTAGCAACTAAACCATATGCTGGCAAATTTATGAACCTTTTAGGAGGACATGAGGAAGACCTGTCTAATGGCACAGCTGTATGAGGCCGCTATGTTTGGGACAAAGCTGTTCAAAAACTTCTTGAGTTACAAGATTTCCCCCTTCTAACTCTTACTTGCTGGTTCAGCCAACTTTAGAGGTCCGCAAACAACTTTTAGTAGTTGCAGTAGCAATGCCTTGCCATACAATAATAGTAATAATTATAAAAATAAAAAAACAAAAAAATGCAAGGTGTTTAAGTTGCAAAGTATGATTATTCTCTATGGCGACTGCATTACAGTTTCATATTTCAGGATATGTTTGTTTTTAAAGAATTACCAAATGCAGTCTGAATTAAATTCAAACATCTGTCAGTCCTCAGCACAGATTTTTGGTTTTCGTTATATCTTTCATGCATGTATACACATACATTTCTCACAGTTGTTCTGTAATGTGCTTCGCTGGATAAAAGTTTATCTTCATATTCATTTCTTAGGAAATATAAATACTTAAGTGTATATTAATGTGTAAAGGCAAATGTATTCCCATTTAACACCTTGTTAAACCCTATGAGACAAACTTGTGAATTTACGCTATACAGATATAATTTGATTGATTGATTATTATCAGTGTGTTAGTTTCATCTGCCTTTCTTTAGTATTAATTGACCATTTTGAGGGAATATATCTACAGATTGTTGTCTGCAAATACTTAACATGAATAGGATTGAAATGTAATTCAACATTTTTACTCTAAACATTTTGCCTAGATTTTTGTCTTTTGTAACTTTCACATATGGCTAATATCTGATTAGAATGGTATATTTCCCTCTGTGGTAACTATACAGGTTGAAATATAGAACCTTGTGTTAACTAAATAAACTAAACTGTGGATATGTGTTTTCAGATTCGTCCCCAGGAAATGTCAGAGAGCTGTTTCTGGGTGCTGGCTGATGAGAACCAGTATGCTAAACCAGAGTTACTGAGCAGAGTTGCTCTCACGTTTGGTTCACAGAGAACAGGTCAGCCTCTCACTTTTCCTTGTTGCAGTATTTAACTTATACCAATACTCTTGTATGAATTATTCTGCACAGAATATTTCTCATCAACACTTCCTCTTTCCTCTTTACTTTCTCTTCTGTTTAACTGTCCCAGCTTTCTGGTATTTTGACTTAAAATACCAGTGTGGTCAAAATCAGTGTGATTTTAAAAGTATGATCACATGATCAATTATCTATAACAATAAACCTTTGAGATTTGAGGAGGGGTGCCGGAGCAAATCCCTGCCGTGCAAAAGGCTGGGTACACCCTGGACAGGTCGCCAGCATATTGCAGAACCAACATACAGAGACAAACAGCCATTCACACTCACATTCACACCTATGGATTATCTAGAGACTGTTTAGATATGAATTAATTGAGCCTCAACCTGCATGTGTTTGGACTGTGGGAGGAACCTGGTGAAAACACACACAAACATGGGGAGAACATGAAAACAGAAAGACCCCACCCGGCCGTCAGGTTTGAACCTTTCTTTAGGGAGGTGGTACTGCTAAACACTCTATCATCCTGCCACCCATTAATCCATTGAGTAAAATCTACTCAGTCAAACATAAAAAGATATGAAGATAATACTTTTATATCTGTGCATAAATGCCATACATTTATATGGATAAATGAGAGTTTTTTTCTCTCCACAGTTGCCAACTGCTTGCTCATTGTGGGAACTGTTGGGCTTCTCTATAATGTTCAAGGCCTTGACCTTCTTGAGATGATATTTACTAGATTTGGGGCTATACAAATAGAAATGAATAGAAATAATCAATAATTTCATGACCACATCTCATGTCTGTAACAGATCAGTTAGCATTCAGCTGTCTGTGCTGAATCCAAGTGGCAGAGGTTGTCGTGCTGCTTCAGATTACGGGGGGCTGTTCCACCTATTCCTGGTGGTAATGCTGCACGATAAGACACCATACGCTTACATCGTTACACATTAGTATGGTGGGTAAGATCTGGAATATTCATGTACAAGGTTGTTGGAATGATTAAAGATACCGCAGGAGGTAGCATGAGATGTTATCAGTCTTGTCCCCTCCTGTGCGTGGACTATTAGTCCCTTCTCTGATGATTTATTCACATCTAGTTTTTTCTTTCTTGTCTTGTCACTGACTCAGCTAGCTTACGACAATTTGAATAATTCATCCAGGTGTTATCTACCTGTCACAACTCAATGCTACTCCTCTCAGGGCACATAAGACACAAGACACCCCCCATACACACACACAAACACACCAGGGCCCCCTTGTTCTCTACCGTCAAGGTGTTGAATAATGGAGGCAGATCTAAATGGCAAACAGGTAGACAGACAGTCAAGCAGGTGTTCTCTGGAGAGGGCAAAGGAAGGATGTCCACCAGCAGACAGTTCTACTTCTCTGTTAGGGTACACGCACCTCTTTATTCCAGAGTAATCATCAAACACATTTTCCATCATATGAGAAGGCATGCAAAAAGCAGTGCAGCTCTGCAGTATGGCATCTGTCTGTTTTTGTCACTGCTCATGGGTAATGCATTTTAGATTTGGTGAGAGGCTTGAAACATTTATCTAATTTCAAACCTTTCACATTGTTTGAATCTGTTTACTTTGTTGTTTTCCTCACGACTTCCCTCTGTCCCAGTGGAGGTTGTAGGAACAGCATGACTCGTGGGTTGAGCTGTCGGACCCAGCTGCGGTTGGTGCTGTTTGTCAGTGAACGTACACGTGTACGTATGCGCTTTTGGGCTTGTCGTCTTATTAACACAGCCATGTAGCGTCATGTTTCATCTCACAAGAGCATCAGCATCTGGATCAGCATTAAACATTAAAAAGGACACAGTATGAAAATGTATTCACTCAGTTGTTCTGATTAAATATTAATTTACGTCCCTTCAGACTTCCTTATTGTTTTGTGATGTTCGTGCTTCTCGCTGTGGAGGAAGCCTGCCATCCTGTACACAAACTGTGAGTGTGGATGAGGACTGAGAACAGTTCTTTTTTTGAGACCGTCTCTGTATTTTTGGCAGACCTCAAGTTAATCAACAGTTTATAAAAATACAGTTCATTATTTATAGTGTTAAAAGACATTTGGAACCAGAATTATTATTACTACTTTTGCGAGAATGAAACATATTTATTTGACATTTTATTCACATCGGTAATATTTTTTATGGCTCCTCTGTTTTTCTATTCGCCGTGGGAATGGAGTGTGGTTTTTGGCAAATGGGTCAGTGCCACTTGAACACATCTCCTCAAATTGCGATAAATGTGTGTTTTTACTGTTTGAGCGAGCAGGTCAGAGAGAACTAAATTAAATAAGACCATACTGGAAAATATCAGTTGATGTTTATGCGCTTCTCACAAGCTAATTACCAGAGTATTAGCTGTAAACTTAAACAATGAGAATTAATGGAAAATGTTCAGTTATGGACAAAACAGTAGAATCATTGTGTAAAGTTTGTATGGTTACGTCTTGAGTCTAATCCAGCAACTGCAGAGTAGCATAAGGCGTTTAAAATAAATTACCATAAAATTGTTTGCTTTGTGTTTTTGTGTATTTGTCATATACGCATTTGCATTTTGCTTTTTTTAAAAATTGTTTTACCCAAGGTAGACGTTTTTCTCATTAGCTTTGCTTTAAAATTCACAGTATCACACTCACACAATACCTCCACCCTTTTACTTTGACCATATATTGAGAAAGGCTGTTCCTTCCCTCACCTTGTAATTTTCTTTCAAATTCTTTCCGGGTATAACACCTCCAGATCAGTTCCTTTCATTGACTCGGCCATAGTAACCCATAATTACTTTGGCTTTACAGTAGCTGGTGCTTGACCGTCCTCGGGTGTTGTTTCCAATTGTTCTAGTTCTGTGGAGGTTGTCACTTGGCATTGGTGTTGTGCTCAGTCTCTGCTCTGGGTGGGTCTGGGTCTTTGTCTGGCAGTCAAGAGCCCTCATCTATGGATATGTTGCTGTACGTCTTTTCCATCCAGAACCTCATGTTGGTCTTCTGCTCATCTATAGTTACCACATGTTCATAACCTTGGCTTTTGTAGAAGCATTCCATCAATTCAGTATATTCAGTACCCTAATATCACATACCCAGCTCAGGAGGCTTACCCTGACTGGTATATGAACCTGAATCTGCTGCCCTGAAGACGACTAGTGCACCATCCAGCTGTACAGATGTGTGTATATGTGTGTACACATATATACAATGTCCTCTTTCAGCTTTTATTTGATGGTTATTTTATGTTTAACATTAACTGTTGTTTCAGCACTTGAGTGGTGATGAGTCTTCCTTATATTCATTTAATTCCAATTCACAGGGAACTGTTTGTAAATGTATTGAATGGATTGCCACAAAATATCATTTAGATATTATTGTTTCCTACAGGATCAATCTTACTGAAATTGGTGATCTCCTGATATGAGGATGTATTGTATTAACTATTATATGTTAAGTGTTAATCAGCACATGTTGTCAAGGTAGCATGCTGTCTAAGCTGTCAGCCTGTGTCGTACTCAGATGGACAACATTATTGTCAATGTTGTCCCACTTTCAATGAGCAGCTGCACAAGGACAAATGAACAAGCTTTAATTCTTTTCATACACTGGGCAGCTCTGCAGCACAGCTGGTAATGGTCACAAAGACACAAGATTGCTGTGGTCTGAGGTTCCTCAGATTTTTACCTTATAATCCACAGTGCATGCACTGCAGTGATGCTTTTCTTCCACACAGAATTTATTTTATATTTTAAGTGCTCCCTAACTGGAGGCAAAGACCAGGAGGTCAGCTCTGTCCCTGCTGCTCTTTTGTATCACTTTCTGCTTCTCCTTCCTTCTGCTCGCTTTTCCAACACACCTGCTGTTCCGCTAAAGGGAATGCAAGGGGAGAGCTTGCTTTATGGGAGACAAAACGGCTGCAGACAAGTGTCTGTTTGTGTTCACAAAATAATACAACTTCCCATCAACTTTTCAAAGCATTGGAAATAGGTGTGGAGTAAGTGTACTGTGGAAGGAATGTCAAACTCAGCCAGCCCCTCTCTATTTCTCATGTTAACCATTTGAGTTGAGCCATTTCAAGTAACTGGAATGAATAGTTTAAATACATTTTTTTCTAAAAAGGCAATTAGAGATTTTAAATTCCTGTGAAAATTGGGTGGAGTGGGTTGAACAGAACCACTAGTAGCACTATTGATGGTGCTAACATGCTTTTGCTCCAGGTGCCATTCAGGTTGTCTCTTAAAGCCACTTTCCAAAGCAGCAGATGAAGACTTAAATGTTCCATCACATGCACACATACAGTACATCATGTATCACTCTTTTGAATCAGCAGCCTTTATTGTTTCCCTGCATCTTTCTCTCTACCTTGCCAATGAGGTCCTGGTCAGTTCATGTCATTGCAACTCTAGGCACGCAGTCCTGTTTTTTACAACTGGCTTCTTGAGACGCTATCTTCCCATAGTATACATTGAAGATTATATTCGTTTTTTTCAAACAGATTAAATCTCATATCATCCCTGAAGCAATTTTCTGTAAACATAGATAATTTGACTTGTAAACTTTTACATATAAAGCTGTTCAATGCAATATTTAATATTTTTCCATACTGACACATACAAAATGTCTATGAAACCGAAAGTATTGAAAGTAACTATTCTGTCTCTCACACAGTCACACGCACATACTGTGTCCTTATCTACTTTTATTGACAACTAGCTGAATAAGGAGGCATGCACAGGTTTATAGGGTTGTGATTTTGAAACAGGGGTGGTCCCCTCCAGCTGTTTGGCTGGGGGGCATGTGTTTTTCATTTCACAACAGTAAATGTATTTGTTGTTATGTGAATTTAGTTTTATATTTCTGACTTGTGTAGTTATGAACTGTCTTGCAGTCCAAACAAATTGTATAACACGCTGTGTACAGCCCCAGGCCTGAGGTTCTTCACCTAAGTGTGTTTTATGTAGAGCTCGTCATTTTTT